TGCTGAGATCAAAAAGTTAAGAACGAATATTTCGCATGTTGACCAATCGTGTTTCTGAATTCTGTCAATTAAACTAAACCGAAGTTTAAACTGACGTTGTATAACCGGGCCTTATGGACATTTGCACCGACAAATTTAAGTGGAGCGTAGCTTAAAATTCATGACAACGTACAACGATTGTCGCAATAATAATCGTTGCTATGGATTTTAAGCTATGCTTAAACTACTCCGCTTAAATTTGTCGGTGCAAACGGCCATTAGTCCGTTAATTTCATGACAAAATACGTTCATTTAGTCCACAGTACAAAAAATTCATAGATTTCGCAATCCATGCAACCATCGGAGACATTAGAAATGACAACCGTATAACGCCATATGTAAAACACCTCTCGTAAAACACAAATAACTCTTATTCAAATTTAATCGAATCACCCTTCACCCTTCTGAATAATAAGCATCATAACGTAATCGTAATACCTATGCTCGTTTCATTCATTATGGGGTGGGGAGACATTGATTTTTAATTGATTCACTTCAAACCCCATTTCAAGATGGATCCTTGGTCTAATTACCATCATCAAAGGATATGTGCGAGAAATTTAGATTGGAATTAACAAAACGTATCGACAGTATCCGCGGCTATTCCTTCACGTACCGATCACGGTCGAGTACGGTACAATCGGTGATGCGACACCATTGTTTTTTCTGCGTGAACGAAACTCGTAACTTTGTACCCAAATACCACATACCTATACGAAACCATAAACATTTCCAATGTTAAAATTTGTTTCTCTAGTTGTACAAATAACTAAAAATTTAAAACTTTTGGTGTTGTTTATTTTATTTATTTGGTGTCAAGGCGATTGTAAAAAAATTCATTATTAACATTGACTTTGGTAAAGTCAATATCAATCAAATAGGTTCGCATTAAAGCAAACGCTCAATTTTGTAAAATAATTTACTGAGCATAACTGTTAATTTCGTGAAGTAATCAGTTCTCGAAGAGACATGCAATTTTCACGCTGCGTTTTAGGAGAAAAAATAGTTCGTTAGTGCTCGTTTCAGCACAATTAAATTGTTGGACCAAAACGACGGGGACCGAAATGAGCGCCGGGACCGAATCTGTCTGACCCAAAACAGCTTCATGTCTATTTGGTTCATTGGGTTTTAACAAAATTGTAGCAACACTCATTTTATCAATTAACCGCACATCTCTATAATCATAATGTGTAAGTATTATACTGTGGTATAATTTATTATTCGTCATAGATCATAGATAAAACCACCTTTTATTTATGATTACCTGTTGAATGTATTAATCGCAACCCAATATAATTTTATGATGAAAAAAAGGAAATAACTAAACCAATATAGAAAACGAGCGACAAGGTTTCTTCCGGTTAACGAGTATTGACCAAAATTTAATCACTAAGGCCCGGTTGTACAATGTCCGGTTAAACTTCAGTTTGGTTTAACCGACAGATTTGAGAAATACGATTGGCCAGCTTGTGAAATATTAGCCAATCAAATCCTTTAACCCACAATTCAACTATAAACTGAAGTTTAAACTGACATTATACAACCGGGCCTTAGTCGCTTGACCACTGTCTACCTACTTATTACTGAAAACAGAATTGAAAAATTCGAAATCGTTCGGGAGTTATCATGTAGGTACACAGACGGACTGACAGACGGACAAAAATCATGAATTCGCTAGGAGCTCCTTTAATAATGAAGAACTCCCTATATATTTTATTGCCATAATGACCTTTAATGGAACGTAAACGTGTTAAAACAGTATATTAAAATGAGTGGAAACGAAGAATTAAATGGAGTTGATATTCTAATCTATAAAAATAAATGTTAAATGATAACTGTAGCATGCACCTGGCGTGGTATTACAGTAAGCCAGTGTAATATAGATATTACCCTGTTGAAGTTAAACACATTTCATATGGCTAACTGTACTGGGTTCAGCGACATCTACTGAAGGGAAGATTCAATTACAATTGGTAGCACCGAATGTTGTATCATGGGCGCACACCACTTTACAAATATACCGACTCGTGAGACATCTAGCAATCACAAATATGAACTACCCAAAATTCAAAAGCGTTGTTTTACTATTGTGTTATATTATGGCCATAGGTTCTTTAATACACAATTAAAGGAGAAGTAAATATGACGTTATAAAATGAAGTTAACAGTTTGGAGATAGTAAAAATTTACCTCTGCGCATTCGCACGTACGCAGGTTTTATAAATTTAATATAATCCATCGATTTATCTGTATTAAAAGGTGCTACTGTTAAATTTTCAGTAGGATCGGTCCATAAACAAGTAAATTACTTCTGCGCATGTGCAGCGAAGGATATGGCCTATTCATCTGAAAATTAATAGGTGTCGTTTCCATAAGCTCCAAATAGGTAATACGCCTACCCTACACAAATGTACGCAGTTGTACCATTATAATGTTGAGTTATCGTGCTAACGAGCTGAACAACAACAACGGACTTTTTTCTGTGATGAAAACAATACTTTACCTACCCATATTTGGGTCCGGAAAAGAGATAAAAATTGAAAGAGTGGACCCTCACAATTTTATGGGAGGCATAACGGGAAGTGACGGAATACCATGGTGAAATGGTTAATTAACAAGACATGACGTATAACAAGACTGATACAAAATAATTTGCAACGATCTAATAGAAATTAGGCGAAAGTGAAGTTGATCTAAATACACTGTAGTTGTGCTCGTAATGTTGACTTGTTGAAGAAGAATAGATCTCGTATGCTGACCGTTAAATTAACAACTGAACCTCCTCTGCCTCCCCTTCCCCAACATTAAAACACGTACTGGATTCCAAAAAAGAGCAAACCTGTCCACGTCTCTATCGCGGTGCACCAGACGCATAAATGCACCCTAGTAGACTGCATGTATTTGGAGCGAACGGCCTACACTACAGCCTTACAAGTCGCGTTTTAAATATCTATCAAAGATATCTAGGGAAGGCGGCAGGCGCACACCTCCAGAGATACAAATTAAGACGCGTTCGTGAATAAATGCTCTCATTCGATTGAACAGAACTAAATAGGAGCGCGGCGCGACTGTTGTGCGACGGAAATCACAGAATCTTCTCTAAAAGAACAAATGAGTAACGTGGAAAGATTTCTAAAGAAAAATCAGGAGAGAAAATACAGAAAAGGTGCACTCTGATGGCCTCTGGCGGCAAAAAAAAAAACTAAAGTATGTAATAACAACTCTACCACAGAACACAGGACATACATAGATGGCGTAAGAATACTAAAAAGAATATATTTGATTGTTAATTAGAAAAAGAACATTACAAGACGCAGAACAAATTTTAAGAAAACAGTTTTGGAAAAAATTTTTAAGATTCTAGAATAAATTTCAAGCGAAAATTAAAGAAGAAATTATAGATCAAACATAAACAAGTTAAAACGTGGTTACTCGCGACCGACGAAAGCACCTTTTCCCCGCACAAAATCAGTAATTACTCGGGAAGGAAGTGACTGGAGGAATAGTAGTGGAAAGTGCGCTATAAATGTAAAAATAGTTAAGAAAAATTTTAAAATAAGTTTTTAAACAAATTGAAACATTTTAAATACATAATTGTAGGAAAAATGTAAGATAAATTTTTAAAAAGAATGACAAAATTTAAGGAAAATTTAGAAACACTCTGAAAACAATGTAAACAAATTTTTAAAAAAGACAAAATTTTAGAAAAATTCTGGAGACATTTTTAAAAATATATAATTGGAAAAAATTCCACAAAAAAATGTTAGAACAAATAACAATTTGAGACATAATTTTATAAACACTTTTATTGATAATTTCGAAAATATTTCAGTATAAATGTGCGAAAAATAATTATAAAAAAATGTTGGACAAGAAGTCTAGAAAAATGTTAGAACATTTAAAAGGAATGTACGTCAGGTCTCTAAGTTGCAAACCACATGCTCACGAATTACTATACAGGGTGTCCTAAATTGAGTAGGATAACATCGCCATTTTTAAAAAATTCAAATATTTTAGTAACAAAGAGAGCTATCGAAAAAAGTTTCGAATAAAAGTTCTAAGATTCGATGGGATACATATTCAATGGGCGTAGAAAATGTTTTTTCAAAATGGCGGTTTTCGAGATATTGACATCAACTTCCTTGTTATAAATGGACGCCATATAGGATTTTTATGTCGTTCGATAGAGAAAAAAATTACAAAACCAGTGATACTAAACACTTACTACTTATTTTATTTGGGAATCCACCTTGCATTTTTGCCTCGAGGTTTACAATGTATTTCTTATGGCAATAATTCCATGGCCGATTGAGATTAAAACCAAATTTTTTCGTTTATTGTCTCGCATAGTCGCCCATCCACGCGGCCGGCCGTCTGCGGCTAGTCCTACAGTTTTCAAGATATTAAGTTTTTGCTATTTTGCATTTAGTAGCTATAATAGCTCTGTCACCTCAATCAAGAAAAATCTTGACAATTATTGTGCGCATGCGCAATGTCAACTTTCTTTCCTTTGAAATTTTACCGAAACGATTTATTTTTTTCAAAATCCATTAGCATCAAAAACTATAAGTACAACTTTGCCAATTTAATCGAATCTGCAAGTATAATAATAACAAAGATAGCCATGTTAATGTTACTCAATTTAAGACACCCTGTACAGGTACTTAACAGAGAATTGCGATTTTGATTAGGTTTTCAAAGTTGTTGAAGAAAATGTGGGACATAAGGTACATTTGTTTTTCTTTGGGGTCTTCAAATGTCATGGAACAGAGATTAGAGCTCTTCAATTTAATCCAGAGCTGCATTCATCTTAAAGTGTGGATAATACTCATAGAATTACCAACCACTAATTCTATGGTAATACTAAAATACCTATGTTCATCAGTCAATTGCTAAGCTTCTTTTTACTAGATAATTTTTGTCACAGTTACTCCTGATAGTATTTCAATAACATCTGATACTCCATCAGGAAACATGTAATACAGAAAATGTTCAACAGTTATTGTGTATTAGAAAGAAGTACCTACGTAATACAATTATTTACACTTAAAAATATACAAAAAAATAAAAACAAAATTTAATTATCGTCTTCACCGTCATCATAATTACTAATGTGATCCAATTTTATTTCCGCCTTTTCCGTTTCAACCCTTGTTTGTGTATTTTTCGGTTTAGTTCTATTTACCTTCTGCCCAACGACATACTCAGGCATTACGATCTTTGAATTTCTGAACGAAACAGATGCTTCAGCTTCTGAGGCTTTGATTACTTTTGGGGAGACTTTTTTAAAGACAATTTTCGCAGGCATTTCATCCACGACTTCCGATGACGATGATGATGTTTCATCTCGATCTCGTTCACTGAGCTCTTTTAAAAATGACATCGCCGCACTGACATTTGCTTTATCGGACATATCCTCTTGCGGGACGTCTAATGTATACCGGGTCCACTTGTGTGGATTGATTTGGTAGTCGGGAACTGTTCGATTGAGGAGCGTCTTGATGTGTTTCAATGGTCGTGTGGTGGGTTTTTTAAATAAGCTTTCCTGGCCTTGCAATTGTCTCAATTTTGAATGCTGTGTGCTGCTGATGTGAATTTCGGGTTCGATTGGCTCCTCCACTTCCATTTTGGTATCGTTTTTCGATAGTGTGTCTATCGTTTTTGTTTCGATGGCACCAAGTTGGTCGAAAACATTCTTTTGACGATCTGTAAATTCTTTATACGCGCTGTTTATGTGAAATTTTTTTGACTCTATACTAGCGGAATTTTCCGTTTTCATTTTAATGTTTATTTTTAATTAAAAATAAAATCTTTTAGGTTATTTTCCTGGACATGCGCACTAGTGTCAACTGTCAAGTATGCCAGCCCGCAAGCCGCATTCAGAAATTCATCTGATGACGTGACCTCAAAGCAAGAGTGAGGAGTGATATCGGAAAGTGAAGCCCAAATTACTTTGTTATTTCACCGAAAACTAACCTGTGAACTGAAATGATATACTTTCGTATGTTTTTTGGCTACCACTTCCGTGCACTTCAATGTACCATTGTCCAATAATGTTTTTAATCGCACACTTCAGACTTAATACCAAAAACCTAGGAATAACCAAAAACCAAAAGTTTGTTTCCTCTTTGCCAAAAACAAACGTTATAAAATAACAATCATATGTGTACATAAATTTACTTGTGACGTGTAACTGTATTCAACAAATTTTATTACACAGAAAGTAAGTTGTCTGTACCGTGTACCTAAGTCATGGTTGCCCTGGAATCTCGCTCTCTATGTTTGATAACCACATTAAATTGTTGATAAACCAAAATAAATTATTAACACATTCATTTATAACATTATTGTTGTTCGTAGGTACCTATGGATGGAGATAATGACACAGTACTTATTAAAATCGAACCAAAACAACAAGAAGAGATCTATTCCTCTCTTCAGGGACAGATTTCAGTAAGCAACGAAGTTTTGGTGACGATAAAGGAAGAAAATACCATTAGTACACAGTGTTCTGAATCTCTTTATAATGAAGAAGTACAGCGACATACACAACAACTTCAACTTTTACCTCAGTGTAAAACAAATCATAAATGCTATCTTAAAAAACACCTTTTAAAACATAAAGTTTCTAATGATTTTAAATGTGCAGATTGTGATCATGAAACAAACCATAAGTATAACTTTAACCAACACCTTTTAATACATAAAGTTGAGAAGTATTTTAAATGTACTGATTGTGATTACGTGACCCATTATAAAGGCAACTTCAAACGACATCTTTTAAAACATAAAGTTTCTAAGGATTATAAATGTGCTACTTGTAATTATGGGACAAATAATAAACGCAACCTCAAACAACATCTTTTAACACATAAAGTTTTTAATGGTTTGAAATGTGCTGATTGTGATTATGAGACATACAATAAATATTATTTTAAGCTTCACCTTTTAGAACATAAAATTTCTAAGGTTTTTAAATGCGGTGTTTGTCATTATGGGACCCATACTAAAGGCAACTTGAAGCAACATCTTTTAACACATAAAGTTGTAAAGGATTTTAAATGTGCTACTTGTAATTATGGGACAAATAGAAAACACAACTTCGAACAACATCTTTTAACACATAAAGTGTTTAAAGATTTTAAATGTGCCCATTGTGATTATGAGACATACAATAAATATTACTTCAACCAACACATTTTAAAACATAAGATTTATAAGGATTTTAAATGTGCCGATTGTGATTATGAGACAAACAATAAGTATTACTTTAACCAACACCTTTTAAGACATAAAATTTCTAAGGATTTTAAATGTGGTGATTGTGATTATGAGTCAAATATTAAACGCGACTTCAAACAACATCTTTTAAAACATAACATTTCTAAGGTTTTTAAATGTGGTGTTTGTCATTATGGGACCAATACTAAAGGCAACTTCAACCAACATCTTTTAACACATAAAGTTGCTAAGGATTTTAAATGTGCTACTTGTGATTATGATACAAACCTTAAATCCTGTCTTAAAAAGCACCTTTTAAAACATAAAAGGGAAAGTTTTGAAGTGTACTAATTGTGATTATGAGATAAATAATAGGTTGGACTTTGAGCAACCGCTTTTGGGATACATATTAGGCGTTATCTTCAAATACAGGTACTCCTGAGCTTCTCTCATTGAAAGGAGAAAATGTATCGACTACTAAATATATTTCACAAAATGTATTACAAGTATATCTAGATTACAAATACACATAACATATCAGATGCAACAAATAGAATAACTTGTATCATTGTTGGGGTTTTCTTGAACTGTAAAGACAACAGTTCATATATTCATCATACTATTTCGTATTTTGTATTTTAAATAATCTTATAAAAACTATTTTATATTTTGCATTTGAAATAAATTTCTCAATAAGGTATTTTATATTTGAAACATTTCTGAACCTGTAAAAAAGCTAATTTTGTATCATCAACTTTGTATCGTTCTATGGTTTAAGTGATGCCTATGTTGGATCAATATCCAATAAAATAGCGTTTTCGATTGGCAAAACTCGTACGGCACGAGTGTTGCACGAGAAACTGAAGAAATCCATGTGAAATTGTGAAAATTGCTCTCAATGGAACATAAATATTCGTAAATATTTGTTGTCATTTGTCCATAACCTCATTTTCGATTTAGGTAATCGACAAATCTCTATTCTAAAAAATGACAAACGATTTCAGATTTCAGTATTATTTATGATAAACAATCAGGAATATAAATTTGAAATTCCTGTAAAGGACCAATTTTTGGCGTTCAGTTTATTGAGTACCTAAGTGCAACTTTTTGTAAAATAGAAGTTAAGTTCATCATCTTCGCTATCGCTAGATGACTACAAAAAACTCTCCCAACGCAAGAAACAAATTCAAATTGCACGTTTTTTTTGAAAATTTGTTAACTAGCAGCTCGCTATCGCTAGATGACTACAAAAAACTCTCCCAACGCAAGAAACAAATTCAAATTGCACGTTTTTTTTGAAAATTTGTTAACTAGCAGCTCCACAAGCTCTCCGACCTCGTGCGTCAAAATTTGCACTGAGTGCGTAATTGTTGCATCACATTTGCCAATGGAACACAGAAAATTGCCCTAAAATTACCAATAGAACGTAAAAATTGCACTCGTGCAGCACGAGTTTTGCCAATCGAAAACGCTATAAGAGAACTGTTTTTAAAGTACAACCGTTGAGTGAAGGAATTAGGTAGAGGCGCAACCTCCATAAGACAAATCGTGTCCCTTTTATCTCTTACTAAGCATTTTCCTTCTCTATCCAACACACTGGAACGCCGACTAGAAACTTGCCGTCGGGATCTGAGATTCCATAAGCGCTGTATAAATCTCAGATCCTACGTTCGCGACGATTTCTAGTATAGGCGTTGCGCCTCTATCTGGATTTCTTCACTCAACGGTACAACACTATAATTCCTTCGTTGGCTCCTGTGGAACGCTCGTTTTCCTATGCATGAATGATTACGTGACCAAAGAGAAGATGTTTAACAGACGTACATCTTGAAAAATTGCTTTTACTTAAAGCAAATGGTTAATTCATGAGAAACGATTTTTTAATATGTTCTTGCTTTATGAATATTGTAATAATAGCCCTCAATGTAACAGGTACATATTTGAAATATTTAGTTGAAATACCTATTTTCTATTTGGTATTTTAAATAGAAATACCAAATCTATTTAATATCTTGTATTTAAAGTAAATTAGCATTTCTTATTTTGTATTTTCTATTTTAAATATATTTTGAAAAGTATTTTAGCCAGCTGTGCGCTCGTACATACATGTTTGGTGTGATGTTCGATCGTGTGTTCCCTACTTAATCAAGTGTTTGTGTGTAAATCATGCTTTATATTCTTCCATATTTAATCTGGGACATATGTAACTGTTATGTTGGCATTATGTTATTGTAGAGGGGAATAAAATTCAGAAGCTGTCACTGTCAGTTTACATATGTCACTGTCATAGTAATGGTAAATATTTTGATGGCAAACGAGCTCGCACATAAACCTTAAATAATTAGAATTTTTCCAAAATATGGACAGAAGATTGTCATAACACAATGTCTAGTACACAACCAAACGCTGACGCCAAGTGTCAGGAAATAAACAAACCAATAAGTTACCACGAAATTGCGGCAAAACTTATAAATGATAGACTTCTTCTAACCGCCTTGGAGCTACATACAGAATTGGTGGAATCAGGAAAAGAATTGAAAGTGTTACGTGACTACTTTTCCAATCCGGGCAACTTTGAAGTACAAACATCGGAAGCACCCTCACTAATTTGTAAGTGTTACTCGATAAAGTGCGTGTTTCCCTCAACGATTATTTTTAGCACGATCGGGAAGTCAGCTCACTTTAGATAGTCTAGATCTCACACGGTTTTCGGAGGACGGCGAGCGGAGTGTCGATGAAAGGGTCGCCGTTTTGGAATTTGAATTAAGGAAGGCTCGTGAAACAATAAGTGCTTTGAGGAATAATTTGACCGTTGCGATTGGTTGATACGTGTCATAGTTTATGAACGTGATTATAGCCTTCTGTTTCAGAATCGGAAACAAGTACGCCAGATAAAAAAACAAGCAGAGTGCAGAGCAGCGACGCTATCAAACCCCATGAACAAAGGGCGTTGAATTTTTTAATTAACGAGTATCTGTTGACGCACGGTTACAAATTAACGTCGATAACCTTTGCTGATGAAAATGAAAGTCAGGTTTGTATTATTATGCTGATCAATGCTTCAGTGCTCTCATGAATAACTAACGCCTTTTTTTTGTTCTACCGACTTTTACTGTTTTTACAATTAAAGTTATTACTCAATATTAGTGTTCTGGGTAGATGAACAAATAGGTGCAATAATAACTTTTTTAATGCTGATTTTGTTCAGTAGAAATTCCTAGCATTTTACTTGATCAGCAGTGTGCATTGAAATTGAGTATTCATTGCACAAAATTGTTGAATGTGCAATGTTTTGCATTGTAAAAAGATAGTGGGATCATGGATGACGCTCAGTTTTGGAAATGACCCAATATGTCTGGTTCCAGTGTCTTCCCTGAGGGGTGTTTTCCTTATGTCAAATCAAATTTGCAAGTAGTAGGTAATGACATCTTTTATCATGAAGCATTCTTAATTAAATTAAAAAATAAATGTTTGTATTACATGGACATGGAATCAATGTGCTGTGACTGATCAGCTGTCTTGTAAGTTTTTATTCAGGGTTTGCCAAAGTCTTGGAATGGTCAATTATCCTCGCAATTATCACTATCACATGCAAATCAATCTTTTTCAAATTTGGAATGTGTATCCTCCTTCTCATCAGGAATCTGTTTGAAGTATTATACCTACTCATAATGGCAGATTATATGCCGATGTGTTTCTTCTTCCTCTTCGCACTTGTTTCAGGAGGTATTCAGCGCTTTGGTTGTAGGGTAGCACTAGTAGATTATTATCTGGTATTGCCAACTGTATCAACTGATATAACAATATACTTACCATTACCACAAAAGAAGAAATAAAAAAATGAAGTATAATAACACGCTTCATAATTTTATTTTTGCTTTTGATTATTAAATCATGGTTGTCCTTTTTTTCATTAATGAATAGGCTTGTGAAGTTAGACTACCCTATTGAAGTATGGATAGTAATTTTGTGTTCGTTATGGTTTTCCAGTTTTTTGCAGGTTAGTAGGTTCTTTTCGTGAGTATATACAGGGTGAGTTTTTTTTTTTCATTTTAAGCTTTCGGATCTCGGAAACATACAGATTCGGTTAAATGAGGAAAGAGTTGCCGTTTGAAGAGCTTATTTAAGATATGCTTTTGTTTTTCGAAAAAAATCCACAGTTTACTAGATATGAGCGAAAAACAGATTTAGTGATTTTTCATGTAGGTAACTGTTGTAGAATAGTTATTATTAGAAATACAGCAAAATGACACGAATAAAAGTTTTAGACATTTTAATGCTTAACATAATGAACATACTAATTTCCTTCTATATTTTACAATTTTTGAGTTATAATACAAACTTTAATTTTTTTAAATGATAGTCATAGTTGGCTTTGACGTATTTAAAAAGGGCAAATTTTTCTCTTTATAACGATATAAGGCGCTTGCTAAATGTACTTTAATAAATAAACGCGCTGCTCGTATTATTGAGAGGTAAATAAACAGAGTTTGCCATGGAAAACAGCATCTAGTGAGATTGGTAATAGTGTAACAGTGGCACATTTAACATATTCACAGGCCATTTTCGAAAATTCGGTATAAAAGTTAAATTAACAATTCAACACACTATTAAAAGTAAATCGTATAATGCCATGGAAAACAATAAATAAACAAAATACTACTGTTTATTGTTGAAGACCTCAAAGAAAACTTGGATTTAATGTTTGGTGCGGAATTATTGGATCACGAATTGTTGGACCTTTAATTTACAATGAGAATTGGACAGGCTAACGTTATCTTCATTTGCTACCAAATGAATTTCAAGATATATAGGATGGGTTAGTTTTGGAAACACGACGTAATTTACGCTGGTTTCACCACAATGGTGCCCCGCCGCGCAACCAACTATTTCGAAAATCATGGATAGGTAGGAACGGGTCAACCCTTTGGTCACCAAGATCGCCAGATCTTTCAATTTTAGATTTTTCCTTTTCGGTGTTCTAAAAGGATTTAATTTATCAGCGAACTTATGCGACTTATGCATGATGCTGTGGTAAATGCTTTTCGCATTTTAGATGGTAGGGTAATACGGAAAGCTATAAATTCTATCGTGAAAATATGCCGCTTGTGTGTGCACTTTGAAAATTTTTTACATGTATTACTTCAAATTAGAAATTTAAATGTAATATTTCGTACTCGTAATTTCTTTTCGTTGTCGTTCTATTTGTGGCCCTAAAGTTTTAAGTATATTATAATAGACTGAGTAATTAAGAGAACAAAAATGTTTCCCATGGCAAACTCTGATTTTACTACTCTTAATGATACAAACAGTTCTGTGTCATGTTTATTTGTCAAAAGTACAATGAACCTTATATCATCGTAAACAGAAAAAAATGCACTGTTTAAAAATTTCACCGCCAACTAAGGTTTCCATTTAAAAAAATGTAAGTTTGCGTTATAACTCGAAAATTATACAAGAAGAATGAAAATTAATAAATGTACCTAATTAAGCGGAAAAAAATCTACAATTTTTGTCCCTTAATCCAAATACGCGGTGGGCCGAGAAAAAGTTCGGCAACGCTTCACAATATTCGCGTTTTAAAATTCTACTGGCAACTCGAAGCGAATTTTGAAGGCACCCATGTTGGTTAAATTCGTTAAAAATGGCGGTACTGTTTCTGATAGTGAGAACGACGATTCTTCCACACACTGCGGTTATACGGCTTTCGGTTTGAACTTTTAATTAATAAGGACGTTTTAAGCGATCTATTAATTCTTTCGCGTTCACAATATGTTAATCTGAACCGACGGTTCGGATAACAAATCAATATACGATCGAAATAGAATAGTCATAGATTCTTTTCGAAGACTTCAGTAAGAATTCATCTCTCCCACCAGATTTTCACTTGGGGACCTCGTCGAATGCAAATGCGAAACGTACCCAACGCGTCCACGCGGTTTTTTATACACGCCAAAGTATAGGAGTGATCACCCCTCTTATGCTTCAGGTTTTAGAGCCGACAATACTGTAACGTTTCGACTGTTATCTACTTAAACACTCGCCCTTATCGCGCCATATTTCGCGAATATAAGTTCTGTTTTCCTGAAGCGGTATAAAACTTCCTATACCAGTAAATTTTACACTATCCATAACTTCTTCAAAAATAGGTTTTATACATATTCCTCAGAGGTGTTTTAGAGATACCTAAGAAATTCTACAGAAATCTTCACTGGAAATTCCTCAATCTTCAGAGATTCTCTCCAGGTTCTTTTAAAATGTTTGAAATAATTTCTGAAACATTTTTAAAAATTTTGGAGAAACAATCAGAACACCAAATACTGGAATAATTGATCGAAGTTGTTCTCTGGAAGATTTTTAGTGATGGCGTGTAACAGCTAGTTACAAAACCAAAACTGAAACGCCCGCTCGTACCAACAATTCTGATTTTATTTCCGACCTAATGGACCTTTTTTCTCCACACTTGAAAAAATCAAAATCCGTCACACCTCTGATTCAGCTCACCTGGTCACAAAATAAAGAATGATTTAAGTATTAAAACTGACCTTAGCAAAGACTAATGTTAATTTTACGTCAAATTTATGTAGTACTGAGGCTGTACGAATAGATTAAAGTGGTCACTTTTCCAACTAACTTAACGTTTCCTTGACTTTGAATACAAATAAATAGTTACCATAATCATACAGCAATAATAATAATAATTCTCGAAATACTGTTTGATCCAACTCTTGGAAAGGAAAATCGATTCAAGTCTCGTATAATGAATGGCACCTTTTGATTGGCAGTTCAAGTTACACCCCGTTCACACGGCGACGATTCGTTTTTTTTCGCACTAGTCCACACGAGCATTCGGCATTACGAATCGTGGGAAAAGCTAACATATTACCACGACATTTTTGTGAAAATAATACATGCTTTCGATTATTAGTGTCGCACCAAAATATGAAACACTCGCCCACGTGACACAAACAATTTCAGAAATCCTCCTAAATGATGAGACCCATCTATAGCTTACATGATCCAATTTAAAACACAGTGGAGCTACAAAAAAAATTGAAAAACTGGAAGAAACTTGGTCGACTAACTACTAAACACATTTTTGAGATTCACAATTAAGTTAGCCAGTAGATGTGTCTCGTTTAGACGATTTTTCCACATTTTGTGAGCAGCTTCTTCTGACATTCCGTTCTGCAGATATTTGCACTAAAAGTTTTGACATCACAGAAGTGTCTCGCCCAGACGTTCCACTTGCCCTTTATGAGTACTCTCCTCCGACAATCCGCTCTTGAGATATAAGAAATTATGGTTGGTAGAAATTACTTGCTTTGATGGAGACCTTTCACTAGAGTACCATGAAGAATGAACCCTATCCCCCTCCCCTCCCAATTTTGTTAAGGGAAAAGAGAGAAGGGCTGTAGTAGGTAGAAAACAGTTCTTTTCATTCATGATACCACTAGTGGAATGCGTATGCAAAATCTGAGACAAATTGGTTGTCCCATGTAAAAGTTACTTTTGGAAACAGCATCTGGGCTAATAATTAATGCGGGTGGCTCCTCTCAAGACAACAAAATTTGAAGGCCGTTTTGCACATCTTCAAGGCTACGCATTGCAAAAATTCCAGGCCTCTAGGAAAATTCCCCTAAAAGTAGTTCAAACCCTCAAAAATCGGTCCTGACAGACGGATGGGCGGACGGCAAAACGAAAACAACAGCACATTTTTTTAAAAGGTGCGCACAAAAACTACCTAGGAACGCCACACCCTAGCCAGGCAAGAAGTGTTGGAGTTAAAACAGGAGTAGAAACCACCCAAATGTTCCTCTGATTGTTGAGAAGCGACGCGGTTTGAATAACCTACAGAGAAATCCCAAAACACATAACAACATCATATTAAAATTCAATCGTCTATCCTGCACCATTAGTGTTGGCCTATTATTTAAACAGATTCAAAAAAATATAAAACATTGTGTCATTGCCACTATTTACAAAAATATCGAACATAATGGCAACCCATCCTGTATATGAGAATATTTCAATTTATTAACTAAGTCTGGGGGATTATAGTTACTAGATAAACACAAAGTTCATTTTATTCGAATTTTTATTTTCGTATTTGTTTTCCTTTCTAGAATTATTGTTTGTAATTGCGTTGTTTTCGTTTCAATTTAATTGCCTTTGTAAAGTATTCAATTGAGATAATGTGTAGAAGTAAGACACACCTGGTCAAGTTTGAGATCAGGAGTGTTTATCGGGCAAAAGTTCATTAATTTCAAGGAAATGCACATCTGGTGTTGATAACGAAGAGGCAGGTGTTTCGTAGTATTGCGCGTCTCTGTCGCCGTTTGTGTGTGAGTGAAGTGCGCCTAATATCGCAAACCCTGTACGATCAAAGTATTTGGATTATTAAGAAAATACCAAGTAATTTAAAGATTTTTTATTTCAATTGTCGACCGTCTGCGTGCGGGGTAATAATCCTAATAAGCTTTTTACGCTTTTTTTCTTTCTAGGACTTTGTTTTAACGTTTCGGAATAAATTTTTGTCTTTGTCAATCAATTGTGTATTTATTAGAATTCATTTCGCGACCCCGATAGAGTTTTCATTTCAGGTTTTTCTATTGGTGCCCAAGACTTATTTTAGATGTTGATCAAAATTTGTGTAATAAATTCTTTCTATTTTCAGGATTTCGAAGATTGGGACGACGTCGGATTAAACATCTCGAAACCGGCCGAGTTACTATTGCTGTATAGGGAAGGTCTAAAACAAACAGGTCAACATTGTGTTCAGTCGTACACGCAAACAGATTTGCCTCTTAGGGATGAGAATGCGGAGGTAAAAATAGGAAAGTTGGTAGGTTTTTGCTAATGTTCGTTTACGATCGGTTGCACATAGTGAGCCAATTATCCATCAAAATTTAACCAAGAAACTTACTTTCCAAACGTCTCCTGTAATTTCAAACACAACGCAATCAGCAAAAGAGGTTTTATTGTATTTTTTTGAAAGGCTAGGTTCTCGATTATGTTGATTAGTGGAACCCCACTGAATTTTGCATTTGTGTGCAGCAGATAAATATTTCTTCCTTGAGTCTGAGTAATTTTTTTTATCAAAGCATTCCGTTTCAGAATAACGAAATAGAAAAACTGAGCTCAAAAATATTAGAACTAAACACAAAAGTAATTGATTTACAAAATGAGAATGTACGACTATGTCATAAGAATGAGGATTTAGCAAGTAGAAAAGTAGAATTATTAATAGACTCTCATAGTAAAAATTCCAGTAGCGATGGTAATTCTCCTGAACACTTTGAAATCATAGATAGAGGCACATTACCTGTAAAAAAACAAGATCTATACGACAATGTGTCGAATAATAGCTTAAATGAGAGCGAGTGGACCAACCTTCCTACAAACATACATGAAGAGATATGCGAAGACAACAAATCGAAAACCGTCACCCCTCATTGCTATAAGAATTGTAGGTGAGTAATCTCGAGGACCATTAAATTTTGTATTAGTTCATCTACTCTGCAGACACCTACCTAGTGGATTCAAACGAGAGTTACTATCCCATTCGTTAATAAGTGGCATAGAAAATCAGGCGTTCGAAAACATATCCAACGAAAGTCTCATTCACGTGATCTCGCAAGCTCTCCTAAAAATCATTCCGAATATTATACTGAACAAGCGCGAAGAAGTCATTCCGCTACTCGTCTGTCTGGTGTACTTAAATCCGAACGCTGCTGAACGAGACAAACTGCTGCAGCAGCTTTTCAATTTGAAAAAGAAACCGTCTCGAGAAGAACGCGAGGTTATCTTAGCGGGTAAGTTTGGAAACGTATTAAGTGTCCGCCAATTGTGTCGTCGTGCTTCGCAGGTATTGTTAGCATCGCGCGGTGTTCTGGCGAAAATTTGGTGGAAAATGAAATTCTTCCTCAGTGTTGGGAACAACTAACACATAAGTATGTGGAGAGACGGCTGTTGGTTGTCGAGTCGTGTATGGTTCTTATTCCTTATGTGTCTGTAAGTAGTGTCTCTCTGCAGAATATAGGAGAATGGGACGCCGCCAACTAGTATACTGTGGAGGCACAATGTGCAAATGCCATTATATTTAAAAGGTTACAGTAGTGCCACGGGACAGAAATATGTGGCGCAAACATTTTTGTGTTTTAAGTGGCGCTAAATTCATGGCTCCATTGCTAACTTGTGATAAAAAAAGTAATGATTTTACTCAACACTAAAAAATAACTATTTATACGGGGTGTCAATTTTTGAAGAGGGGGGTGAAGGGGGTGGGAGTTGTCACTCATAACGTCCTTCTAGTTCCCCCTCGATACCCCCGAAACCGTTTTGCGCGATTTTCAATATCTTCTTTAGTTTGGAAAATATGGCCGACTGCAAGTTTTAAAATTGACACCCTGTATATTATACAATGGGGAAAATTCAGTGTTTTTGTGCGAGCATAAAGATTATGCGAGCGCTAAAATTTATCGTTCCCGCGTGTATAATGCACCATTTTTTTTCAAAATAGTAATTACTATAATAGCTAAAAATAGTAATTGTGAACGCCGCCGTTTAGATACCCAAAACATGAAAGCACTTAGTACAGGTCGCGTGCGTTTAAAGCTAGGTAAACCATCGCTCGCCGAGGTTAATAGAGTTGGTAACAAGCAGATACGTGACCAGTGCGCGTCGGCTCTTCGCGCACGTTAAAAAGTTACAAACATTGCTCCGATTTTTTACCACCCGCGCGTTAGTAAGGGAAGTGTTGCATTGTGGTAAAAAATAACCCTCACCTTTTTTGCCGGAAATACATGTTTTGAAGCACCAGGAATCTGAATCAAACAAAATGTCGACGATGTCGATCTGTCTGTACTCTCATTTCCGGCCAAACGGCTGAACCGTTTTAAACCAAATTTAGTACACGTATTTTTAGACGTAAAAGGAAGAGCTGAAGAGCTTTTGTGGAGAATCGTTCATGAGCTAGTGCGTCAAAATTATTTCCAGCTAAACGGCTGAAACAACTGAAACCAAATTTGGTACATACATTCTTACACCTAAGAGGACAAAGTCGCGCATGCGCAGGTGTGCGATTGGTATCTGTGCTAGTCACAGAAAATTTGTTCATGAATATTGTAATGTAAATACATTTAGGATTTGAGAATCCATAATTCGCAGGTCGATTCAAGTGGAGACTTATTGGGTTAAAGAAGTATGAGAGATACTTTGAATTCTAATGGTTTGGTTTTAGCGTTACGTAGTGACCACAAAGGCGAATTGAAGGCAACGTCGTTTTCCTTTTAACCTCTAAAATAAATAAAAATTAATTTTTGGGGTGAAAATCACCCCCTTCTCATGTCGTTACTGTCGTTAAGCGGCCAAAATTGGCATTGACTGTTTTCAGTGAGACACCCTGTATAATGAAAGTATCAGAAATATCGGTCATGTTTCCTTTATTATAATCGTTTCCGTTTAACTGATGTTTGACAATTCCGAGAATAATTTGTGATTGACTTAATATTAGCGTTACAGGTTTTCGTTTTTTCCCTCAAATAAAATACTGACTTGTGATTAGCTCGTATTTGTGATACAAAATGTCTTTGGCTTGTATCTTTTGTTCGAAGCTTTCACAAACGCACGGGGTTTACAGTAGGTATGCTACCAAACCTGTTCCATTTTTTAATTGCAGTATTGATTGAAGTTTTGAATGAATGCACCAAAAGATAGAAGATTTAAATGCATTCCACATTGCTTTCATATATGCCAGCATTATCGATTGAACTGATAAATTATGTTATCAACTCAAAAAAAAAAAAAAAAAAATGAACTGATAAATTTACGTACATTCTCTTTCTGTCGAATAATTTATTACCTACTTACAATTCTATCAAATGTGCGAAACGAAATCCAATACGCACACAACAATTAATAGTAAGTATCGAAGGTTCATTAAATAATAGATTTGTTGAGGGTTTTGACAAACTTATTGTCCCTATTTAAATTCGAGTGGATAAAGATTACAAGATTTGTACCGCACATTATAGATAAGGTTTTATTAATAAATTGATCGTTTGCTCGTTGGAAATTTCAAACCAACTTTTAAACTTCTCGTGTGCCTACTTTCGATACAATTCCAAATAATCTTCATGTCCGATTATTCACTTCGAACAAAGTCTATTTAGTTTTTTTTGTAGAAATTAATGTTACGCATCCGTTCGTACTATTGATATCCATTTTCCAAATTTTGAAACTACGTAAACAGAATTGAAATATGACGTTATGAGAAAAAAATCGTGTGAGATGGAATGAACTTCAGCGCTTTTTTGTCTGGTAGATCAGTTTCTATTAGCCTGTTGCAACATGAATGTCGCAAAGTAACTTTTTCAAAACGTAACGGCGTTGTGATTTTTTAGTCTTCTTCTGCAGTAGTAGAAAAATGAGGAGTGTACTTGTACCTACCAGGCCGCATAATTAACAATTCTTTAGGGACGGGGCTACATGATGTGGGGTCGGCGACATCCGGGCGCCATCCCCGAGCGGGGTTTACTTACTAACGTGGTGATTTTTCAGTTTTTCCTGCAGAAGAAAGTTGAAAAAAACTAAAAAATCACCACGTTAGTAAACCACGTTCGGGGATGGCGCCCCGATGTCACCGACCCCACATCATGTAGCCCCGCCCCTAAAGAATTGTTAATTATGCGACCCGGTAGGTACAAGTACACTCCTCATCTTTCTACAGGCGATCTTCTACGGGGTCTCATTTGCTGCCAGCCAGCTAGCCCACCGGCCACAGTGAGATTACAAGCCACCGTTTTACAAATAAATTTGCAAAAAATGCATTAAAAAGAGATAATTACAAAAAAAGTTAAATCACTGTTTGCTGCTAAACAATGGCCGAGACAGTCCTAAAACTGTCGTCAAATTCAAATTCAATATGGGCATAGCTTTAGCCATATAATACGCAATGCCAAAAGTTCCTTTGTCTGTCTGTCCCTCTATCTGTCCGTGTGAACGATAACAGGTTAGAAATGTCCGATCGCTTTGACATATCCGTTAGTTATGAACTGAATTGCATGAAATTCAATATGGGCATAGCTTCAGTCATATAATACGCAATGCCAAAAGTTGAATCGAATCGATTCAAAATTCACAGTGCCCTCTTCGCATCTCCACTAATTATAAACCAAATTGCAAACTTTTTTATTTATGAAAGCATTTAAATGAAATTTGATACATAGCCACTTGAAACAAAGAAAATCTAACGTTAATTTCAAAATTTAGGTTTGCGCATGCGCAGTGTCAACTTTCTTATTTATGAAAGCATTGAAATGAAATTCTTATAAACTGAAATTGAAGTAGGACATCAAAATGGATCTATCTTTCATATTTGTGGCCGGATTTTTACGATTTTAATAGAAGTTGCATCTGACGAATGAGAAATGAATGCAAGTGGAAATGCGCTTTTTGTAAATCGTTTACGATTACTTTTTTAACTTGTTGTATTAGTATTGAGTGGGCGGGGTTTCAGCTAAGGCTGCTCTACCAACCTAACCCACTACACATTTACGAATACCCATGCCCGTACCCGGATTCGAACCAGGGACCCTTAGGGCCGGTATTTCAGTTACCACTTAAACTAATGCTTAGTTAAGCGGCTCTCTCTGGTTTAGCAATGGTTTAAACCAAATCGTGTATTTCAGTGCTTTACTTAGTTAAGGGAGGAATGAGCGGTAGATGTTAATGTTGGCTATTCTGATTGCGTGAGTACGCTTGCGCGGTAATTATTTGTAAATAACAATAACAGCTGATGCATTTTATAACCTTATTTTACGTGCACATTTCACAATTCATGCTCGTCCCACACCACAAAATTATCCTGCCTGTTTCTGAAGACTCTAGGTTTTCTTCTTCTCCCAAGATGTTCAACAAAATTTACAATTTCTCCATCATCTTCATCACTGGATGGATAAACATGAACATCAATAACATCCATTGTAAATAAATTGACGGGGATGGAACGATTAAATATTAATTTTTCTAAATTTTAGGTTAGATATAAACACCTTAAACCATTATTTAACACTTAAACCGTGGCTAGTCGACCGCTTAAGTAAACCCTGTTTTTACTTGACTTAAGTGGAAGCTTAGGTACTGAAATACGCGCCATATGGTTTAAGTCTTGACTTAGCCTAAGCTTTTACTTAAACTGTACTGAAATACCGGCCCTTAGTACCGCAGTCCAGCTTCAATTCAACTGCGACACACGAGCCGGCTTAAGAATGATGTTATTGTTTGTAAAAACATCCAATCACTTGTCTTAACAACACTGTTAGCTGAGAACATAGTTAAGTATGCCATATGGCTTCATACATAATAGGGGCCGATAATCAATTTTGTGGTTTTCCCTGTATTTCTTACCCGAGCGAAAATTTTGATTTTACCGTATTAAGTTTAAAGTTCAAACGCTCAAAAATAAGTTAAAACCAACAACTTTTTTTTAAATGAAAATACATTTTTATTTTCCTTTTGGAATTCTACATAGTGTTTCATGTACAGGGTGTCCCATTTTCGACACTTTTATAGGCGTTATGGGATCTTTTTGGGTCAAACTTGCAATGCTAAAATCAAAATTTGCACATTTTTGCTTCAGAGATTCGGAGATAAATCAAACAATTTTCAATTTCATAATGACCGTATTCATAGGTATATTCTTAGTAAAAACAGAAACAAAAAAATGTTTTGTAAAAATTATTAATAAATAATGCCGTTTTCAAAATAAATTATACAGTACTATCGGGTAAAAAAGTTATTGGATCTAACTTAATTTTATTTAAATGGCATACCCTTTATATTTCAATCTAAAAATAGCATATTAAATTTTGTTTTTCTTAAATGCAACACTGAAAAAATTCAATATCGATACAAAAAGGTTCAAAAAAGATTTCTTAAAAATTCAAAAATTCGTTTCTAGTAATTTCTAATTTTTTCAGTGTTAGAAAAAAGGGCGATAGTTCGTAGAAAACAGTTCCTTTTGTTGAGACCTTTAATTAGAATACTATGAATGGGTAAAGCGTGTGGTTGCCCCCCCTCCCTCGCCTTTCCCATTATCAAAAGTTTTACTTGCCACTAAAAGCATGCGCATGTAAAATGGTATTAGACTCTATTAGTGTGACGTCAAATTTGAGCGGGAAATTCGAAATGCTGGACTTGGCTGTTTTATTGTCGAAGATATTGACCCCTATCGCGCCATACATTAAGTATCAAATTAGCAATGCCAGTTTATCCAATTTGTTTGTAACTCTTATTGTATTTCCTCTATGCCGCTGTTACCACGGCAAGGTTCTTTGGCAAGGGGTGAAGTCTCGCTGAAAGGGCAAATGACGAGTTTGTTATTCGGTCCAAAAATTTTGCAATGAAACTTTGGGGAATGGTTGGACTTATGCCCGCGAAGGTTTCAAATGTAGTAAAACACTTCCCGAAATTAACACGGGAACGGGAAAAAATAGATTACGACATGGGCTAGTAGACGGTACCGGGAACGAGTATAAAAAAAATAGTATGAAATAACAATAGTGTTAATGCTGAAGAGTGTTATGAAATTAATATAAAAGGTGTCCCAAAACGCACACAAGAAGTAATTCTAGCAGACAACGCAGGTTTCTAATTAATAATGGCGATTTTTTAATTGATCTCCGTGTGTGGTAGTCTAATCTGCTCGTTGTCGGCGTCTGGACTCCTATATTCAACTGCAAATGTTGCTAATTAGGAAATCGGTTTAGTTTGCAGAGTTTTTCAACACTTTCATTAACATTCACACAATGACCCAACTTGCTAGATCTATAGTAGCGATAGTGCCTATGTCATCGCTAAAAAATTACCAAAGTATTTTGCAGAGTCCCATTCGAAACTCTCTAATGCTCTCGATGTTGCAACAAATGCTTGAAGACCGAGACGAAATCGTCCGCGAGATGGTCGTACGCGCTTTGGCGATGGTCGTCGGGTTCTGCGACGACGGCGACAAGTACTGGCAGTGCGAGGAGCTGGCGATCCGGACTCTGGAAGATTCCAGCGACGTGGTCGTCAACGTCAGTGTCCAGGTGCTATTTCCCGTTTTGGCGCAGTGGGCTTTAGCTTTAGGTCGTATTTTATCAAAGATGTGAGAAATATTTACGAGATTGTTTTTTAGATCGATTGCAAACAGACTTGATAAAGCAGCTTTTGTATAAATTGAATAAGTACTTAAAGGACGAGACGTCTGAATGTTACGCCGTGCATCTTGTAAATGCGATCGATAATTTATTACCGTTTGTTTTGGTTCATGTGTGCAGTTACCATAAGATTTTGGATAATATAGAAAAGGACATGGCAATCGAAATAAGTAAGTTTTTCACTGTGTTTGGAAGCTTTGTGTTGGGATCCATGCACATTTGACATGATAAAAATATCGAGAATTCTTTGTTTTAATTTTGTGAAAACAATTGATTTTTACATATATCTCCAAATCCATTTATGGTAGTAAAGTTTCTTGTAGGAAATTGACAACTTTCACACTTGTCCTTTTGTGTGATGCTAATCATCCACTTCTGACATCTAACCTTAGTCATGCTCAACCAGGAAATAGTAGACTTTGGCCTTGGTCTTCAAAACAAACTGATTTATATTACAGTTAGGTAAAAAAAACTACTACGCAAAATTATTAACTACACAGCGGACCACAACGCCTAAGCTACAACGCAAAATTTAAAGGAAAATTCCTTTCTTACAAAATCTTTACAAACAAGTGAATTACACTCAAATTGACTGCAATTGTCGTGTACACTCACAAATAAAACTGCACAATGCCTTTCTGCAGTGGTGATCTACGTAGATGGAAATTCGCCTCAAGAATATATCTCTGCTGAAGCTCTCCACGACGTGTTGCAGAACTGTCAAATGTTGGGGTTCTCGAGTTTAGTAAGACGAAGCTAAGACTTGTAATTGATCAGCTGTTCTGATCGCTTCGTCAACAGGAAATACCTTCTGCAGTTGGTCGGGCACTGAATACATCAAATCTTCTACTCAGAAAGCGATCGGAGGTTCTTAGCCCCTTTAGAGCAGCTTATATTTTTCAGATACTTAATTTTTACTATTAGAAAATGTGCATGTATCTCACAAAAAATTCAGTCAACAAAAGATGGAATCATTTTATCTCCAATTGAAATATTCTAGAGCCTGATGTCCTAAAATTGTGTACGAACTTAACGAACCCGGCGAACTTTTACGAAGGCGACTTTAACGCCGGCATGATCTTTTACGAATTCGATAACTACATCGAACTGAACACGACCGCCTTTTGGCCACAGTTGGACTGGCTCCTAGACATTGTGTAAGTGACACACTACCCGAAGGTATAATTTGCAAATCTCTTTTGCAGGTTACCGGACCTTTTGAACAATCTCAACCACATAGACCTCTCGCAGCACTCGCTCATTCAGAGCGTCATCAGCTTACAGCAACATACCTGCGTACTTTTCGGAAAGAACTTCGCTCGCACACGAATTTATCCGTTGTATAATACTCACGTTCAAAATTTGGAGCAGATTATCTCCAGCTTTAACCAGTATTCGCCCAATTTAAGTATAATACCCGTTTATTTGATCTCAGTGTTGAGCTTTTGCGATCGTGAGGAGTTAACTAGCTCGTTTAAGCGCTTCATCTGTGCATTACCTCTGTGTGGAACGCCTTTAGATTGTTTGGAGATCACAGTTAAAGGTTTATGTGATGTCGGTATGCAGGAGGTGGTGGTGATATGCTTGTGGGATGGTGTAGTACATCAGCGACCGCTCGTAAGAGCGGCGGTTGCAGCTCTCTTTGGGACCATTATCAAACATTGCCATGAGGGTTTGCTTGCTTCAAAGATTACGCCGGCTTTAGTTACGTTAGCTAATGACAGTGATGTGTAAGTTGCACAGGTGGGTTTGGTTATACTTAATAATTGGTCATCATTGTAGCCTAGTCAGAACGGCTACCGTGCCTGGTTTGGGAAACCTTATAACCGAATCGACGGTCGCGGAGGTACACGATAAAGCGTATATGCAGCTACAGACGTGCTTATCGGATCCGACTTGTAAGGAGAATCACAGTTTGTTAAGGCAGCTTGTTGTCACCTTGGGTAACATTGCTAATAACTGCAAGGTGTCTTTTAGGGATGAAGGTAAGCAACTTACTGTCACGGTTTTTTTGCTTACCTTAGTATTTCCAGTGATCTTACCTCAGCTGTCATCGTTGTCGACTTACACGTGCGTCATGTCAAATCAAACACGCAAAGTGGATATGGTTTTGGCACTGTTAGAAGCCTTCTCTAATGTTTTGTACAGCCCATTGAGTAAGCAAACGATTATTGCTGTACTTTTGCCTGGCTTAAGGTGAGTAATGTAAAAGGGAATGTGGAGAGTAGGGGAACATTAATGGCAAGGTTTAATTTGTAAGTATACAGCCTATTTTTTTAAGGCACTTTTTTGAGGATCCAATTTTTCTATTTAATTGTCTAAGGTTGGTTTTTTGCCTTTTTCATATCTTCTTTAAATTTTGTGGAAATGTATTGCTATGTAACTCATCTGGATGCCCAGTATGGCCCACACAATACAACAAAAATGTGTAAATGTTCAGCAGAATTTCAAGGCTAATCCTGTTATTCGTCAGTGCAAATAACTTCAAAAAGCCAAAACAACTAGACTTTAACACACAATTTACTTGCTTTAGTTTCACTTATTTTCATTTTAAATTTGATTTGACATATAATTACGCGGATTGCCCAAACTACTATGAAACTCAAATTTTACTGGATTCATAAACACGCTTTAACAATTACAAACAACTAATGTACCCTTAAACAAATTTAATGTTCAAACAACAACACAGACGAAACTTACTGATTTTGCAGTGCATTTTTTTTTCGACCTTGACTTGACTGAATGCTAAACTGAATATATAATACAAGCACCTTCCTACACTTCGCAATCGACGACGTAAACTGGAAAATAATTGTTAAATAACCGAGTTTGCGGCTAATTCCTGATCCTACTTTCTTGAAACGGAAGCTAACAATCTTCAGAAGTGGGATATAGAAAGATTCTATTCCGGAAGTCGCTAGCATCTTAAAAAAAACAGATTGTAAATTGACACAAGGTGTGCTGTGACCGGCAATCTTTCCTGGCGAGAGGTATAGTTTTCGATCTTGGTCGACTCGTTTCTTAACATGTGTTTACATTAAAGGATTTCATTGTGTTTTGAAATACGCAAAGTTCTTAAAAGATGAAAATTGTGGTGGGAGTCGAATTAAACCGTCATATTAATATTGAGCATAGTATTAATTTATACACAGTAATATATTATTTAGGGCCGCTTCTACAATTACACCTCTCGCAGAATAAGATATTCTTGGAATAACTGCCATAGTAACAAGTATCCCATTGGTTGACGCATAGCTAACAACGCAACCGTCGACGTTTATTCTAGGTATAGGTCATTCTCGGTATATATCTGCATTGTAGAATCGGCCCTTAGTAACATTACATATAAAAGTAGAGCTTCAAACCTACAGCATTACTAATGTAGCAGTAAAGAATGAGACACCTCACTAATATAGTGTCTTCATGGTGTTTGCTAACTTCACATCACAGAGAAGTTGTAAAAGTCGTCATATTCTTCACCCGCTGGGTGTTGCTACCAAAATAATTAAAGCACTAGGAAGCACTACCGAAGCACTAAAGAATGAGGCATCTTACAAGTATAATGCTTACATGGTGTTTGCTAACTTCACAGTGAAGTCGCAAAAGTCGCCATATTTTTGACCCGATAGTTGTTGCTACCAAAATAATTGAAGCACCAGGAAGCACTACCGAAGCACTAAAGAATGAGACATCTCACAAGTATAGTGCTTACATGGTGTTTGCTAACTTCACGGTGAAGTCGCCATATTTTTGACCCGATAGTTGTTGCTACCAAAATAATTGAATCACCAGGAAGCACTACCGAAGCACTAAACAATGAAACATTTCACAAGTATAGTGCTTTCAGTGTGTTTGCTGGTGTGAAGTTGGCAAGCAGTTCACAAAAATATCGATAAATCGTGAATGGCAAGTGTTGCTGCAAAATTAATTGGAGTATTTAGAAGCACTAAGGAATCACTAAGGAGTGAACCATATATCGACGATAGTGCTTCGAAAGTGCTTGCTAGTGTGACGTGGTGGACAAACAATTCGGTTAAGTCAATGCCGCTAGATGTTGACTAGAAAATTAATAAGGCACTAGAAAGAACTAACGAAGCACTAATGAATGGGCCATACCCGAGGTCTAGGCTTCAACTGTGCTTGCCTACTTCACAGAGCCAAGTGGCACGTGATAAAACATCTAAGGCCCCTTACGTTAATTGTAGACAACGCTTTGACCTGAAGCACAGTAGGGAAGGAACGTTAAATAAAACACTGAAATTGTGAAAAGTTTGTTTAATAATGATCGTAATTATTATGATTCCGAAAACCCGGAAATTTAGTTGATGTACGATAATGTAAGCAAAGCCAGAAGGGTGTCGTACTCTCGCAAAAGTCACTGCCAAGGGTAAAAAGAGTACGACGAAGAAAAACCTTGCAGTTTGATTAAAACAGTCCAAAAGTTAATTAACAAAATATTTTGTAAACGTTTAAGCAGTAGTTAACAAAGATTGTAAATGCATATACACAATGTTGGTTACACTCAAGGTTAAAAGCAAGTTTTTTGGGGGCAATGGGTCAGGTAGGAACAGGTACCAAGATTCTGAGAAAGGGTGAAATACACAGAATGTGACTCATCTTTGGTGCAATAAAGTTCTTTTGTTGAAAGCAAGATGGAAAATTACATGGCCTTGTAGGCAAATTTAACAAAAAACAAGATATGTGGAAATTATTGAATCGCCACTCATTTAACGCACATAGATTCTAAACTGAAGAGCTTTGATTAGCGTAATCTCGCTCCTGCAAGATGGGTAGTCCGCCCCTGGTTTTGGGGCATCGAACCTACAGTTGGATGTCGAAGACAATCACGGAATTAGGTGTCGTAACACAAATTTGACTACAGTTTTTACCACCTCCGTGACTGCTTCATTCACGGAGAAAATTGTTAGTAACAAACAACAAGTCAGTAAATACATCAAACGAATCAGTAATTTCCACATATTAAAATAAAATGAACCAAACTTACATGAATGTTACTTCAGGGACAAGACCAAGTAATCAACATCAATAAACATAAATTAAGCAAACATTACACCAAAAACGTAAACAATTACAAACAATAGCATAACGGTATCACACATATGATTGCATTGCGGTTAAACCAAGCAAATTTCAAAAACAAATATTGAAACACACAAAAAATTTAAAATGCGGCAAACAAAACACAAATACGATATAAAGAAATGCAAAAATTACTACCTGCATTAAATAAAACAAAATAACAACAAACATTTATGGAGCGACGCGTTCACCGCCGCCATTCAAGACAAGCTGTCAAACGTAACCCCCGTTCGTGCTTTCTAGGTGGCGCAGGCAGCTTTTCCCCACCTAGAAATTGCATGGTTGCCAACTCTCCAAAATGTATGTATCGTCGTAAGTTGTATATACAGGGTGGAACCTTTCAAGGTGAAACAAATCTTTGATCGCATTGTTTACCATGCATGTTAAATAAAAATTCGGCCTTAATGAGTGGTTTGTAGCAGTCCGTACGGGTTAAGAGATAGAGTATACCTTTTCACGTTTGATTTGCATCTGATTTACTCGTAGGAATTAAGGTTGGGTCAGTTGCGTGTTACATTACAGTGTAGTTACAGCTTCTTTTCTTGTTGCATTATTGTTTAATTATATTAAATTTCGTTCATAAATAGAGACTTACGTAAATATTATATGAAACAGTAAAAATAATCAAACTTGCAAATTAGTTCGTAAACACGATTTCTGACCATTTTTAATTTTACCATTTGACCATTTTTAATTTTAATATATTCTTTGGTGGGTGAAAGTGAAAAATATCAGGAAACCATCTACACAACAAGTCGGGAGCAAGGGGCCGTTTTACAAGTCATTTAACGCGGGAATCCCTTTTAATAGCTTGATCATAACCTCAAATTGGATTATTGCACACAAAAGAAAAATTACAAAAAAACGGCCGTTCTGGAGACGAAACTATGTAAAATAATAGCAAAACAGATGTGTACTTACACTCTTCTCACTTTCTTTATCCAATTATCTCTGCAACTCATATGGTCTGTTGGGAAAGCTGTAGAATTTTACAGAAGAGTCCGTATTTATGTACGAATTACTGCATCCAAGAACACAACAAGAAACTCTGGACGAATGAAAAGTGTTTTTCGAAGTCATAATTGTTGTTTTATTTGGAGTAAGCTTGAAAATATTAATACAGTAATAAACGGTCGATGAACTTGTTTCACCACATCTTATGTTAAATTCTCCACCAGACGGCGCCACATCCGAATATGCTACTCGCTTATACATCTATCAAAAGCAGTCATTATTAACGCATGTCTGAAATGTAAACTTCAGGCAAAGAGTAACTTCTTTGCTTCAGGTTATATTGAAAATATTATTTATTTATTATCCCTCTCTTGTTCTGGGCCCTCAACATGGTACCTATACCTATTATGTGTGATTTGGACAAAGAAGAAAAACATTTGATGAACAAAAACTCTCTTGCTATTAATTTTGCCCACCGTCCATTGGAATTTGTCTCACGGTTTTGCGACTACTACTAATTTTTTGCAGATCACTGGAGGCGATAGTAGTTGAAAATCCGTCGTTATTGCCGCACAAAGAGTCCATAACTTCTATGATACGGGAAACCGAAAATCGAATAAACGCGGCGGGCGTACAAGTGCCGTCGGACCGGGGCGCGTCCAACACTCTCGGACAGAACGTAAATCAAGGAGTAGAAGAAATGAAGCAGAGAGTGAGTAAAATATTTAATAAGCCGTCGAGCAATCCTTTACCGAATCTGCAAGGTATCTTTAAGAAAAAGTAAATTCTTTGCCTATCTTTAGAATTATGTAGTCAAGTTTGTGATTCAAAGGTAGTGCCTTTCATATTTTCGTATCTTAAGAACTTATTGATTAGGTTGTGAAATGTAATTTTATATGTGTCTGTTGTACTTATGTATTGTTTATTGATTTTTCTAGTGCATGTTATCCAATGTTAACAATGGGAGAGGTAATTTTTATATTCTATTTGCTTGTTAAATACATGTTAATGATTTTTTAAATATTATTACAATTTACTGTTGCCCATCAGCATCTCTCTAACCAGCTCGACGGCGTATTTTGATGTTCCTGGCGCTGTGGTCACTCCGTATCCTCCGTGTCCATAATTGTGGACTACCTTCAAAGGTCCTCTTTCAGTTGTTAGTATCTCCTTTTCGACTCGGACGACATCGCGGTGAGGTCTCAGACCGACGCGCTGTCCCAAGAGCGGTGCAGTTTTCAAACTCGGCAGCATAGACTCGCAACGTTCTCGAATTGAGAGCGTGTCGTATTTGCATGGCTCTGTGTTATACGACTCGTACTGACGGCATCCACCAAGTGTAACATCTCCGAAACTCGGAATGACGTAGGTATCGTATTCCCCATAGAAGAATGTTTTAAGCCATGGAGCGTGAACCTACAAAAATATTTCTGTTATCAACAATGCGAAAGTGAATAGAAAACAATTTTGCAAAAAAGGCTGAGAGATCAGACAAACTTTAAAATCTGTCCGTCCAAGGCCTTAACTACTATTACAGTTTTCAATATATTTACTTAATTTGTTGTTTTTGCATTTGGTAGCTTATAACCCTAGGACCTGAGCTTCTTTACAATTAATTTGAGCATGTCCAATGTCCACTTTCATATTTATAGAGATTTATTTTTGAAATTTTTAGCAAAGATTCTTCTAGTAAAGGCAAACATATCGCATATTTTAAACATCGGATGTACGCATGCGCAATGGTAAGCTTCTGATGTATAAGAACGTTTATACCTTAACTTATTTTCCTTTGTGCACATAAATAGTTCGTTATATAACCTTTTGGGATGGACTGATCAATTCATGGAAAATGCCCTAAAGTTACTTTCTTGAAAAATGACGATTAACGCCACGCCTATCTTTTCGAAAGAATGCCCTTTGAGCAGCTTATTACGCTAAGGAAGAGTCAACACTGAAATGAAATAGGTAATTTATGTTGTTTTCTCCAAACCATGTATTTGAATCATCGTGCCTACATGCCCCTATTACAACATCTGTATCAGTGCATCCACTAGTATGGACACTTCATAATTTTGAATTATAATTTACGAAAACGTTTTGATAACACAAAAATGAATGATACACGTTCTATATGAACGTTATTAATGAAACTTGTGTAACTAAAATCACTCGACTACGCCTCGTGAGTTTAACATTACACGCGTTTCATAAACGAACTTGTATCATTAATAACTATTATTAGGTCAGTGTCATCTTGATAAGGATCTTTGAATATATAGAATAATCAAAGATAAGTATTAGTCTGATAGATTTCGAAACCTGTACCTATTTTAACTAACTATAGGTAGGTGTACTCGTTTCTCCACTTACCTTTAGTACTTGACCTCTTATTGGTATCAGCCTATTATCGTTACACAAATTTTTGGCTCCAAATCCGGTACAATTGACGACGACATCGTATTTTCCCGCAAACTCTCCAAACGCGTTGACCGATTGACGGACAACCTGCCCGTTTTCTGAAAGATATTTCTTCGTCGCCCACGGTAGATATACGCCGCAATCGACGAGGAGAGTCGTGAAGAACGATCCGTACTTCCAATCGCCCGGGCACAAGTCAAATTCTTCTCTTGTCGCGCTTCTGTACAGTGGTACTAAACCTTCCAAGTAGGGATTCTGGAAGACAAATTTTATTAATGTTGGACTTTTATGCTCGTAAAAAATACAATACTAAATAATAATAGTTGTCCCATGTTTTACGAGAAATACTGTCTTTGCTAGCGATATTTCTGTTACAGTGAGATATCAATAAGTTTCCTGACAATGAAATAAATTACGCGAATTACAATCTGTACCAGGTAAAATGATACATGAGTTTTTCCGTTTCCCTAATAAATTTGGTAGCTATATAGAATTTGCGGTGTATTATATGGTATCACCCTGTATGTTGTTATGTTTAGTATCACTGCTGTTATACAATAGACACAGAATAATGTACAATATACTGACATGTAGAATGGCTAAAACATGTAATAAACGTTAATCCACATTTTATCTGTATCAGTTGTCATCATCGTTAATAATACATGCGGCACCACCTGCTACTACTACTTAAAGCATAATTTAGTTCTTGTGTCTCTTGGGAGCAGAGATAGCAAGTCTCTGCTTGGAAGTACCTATGATTTGCCATCATATTCACTTATGCTCACCTTCTAGATTCCTGGTTTGGCGATAGTTGGGGAAAATAGTGGAAACTGTGTTGTCTCACCTTCGCTAGAATTACAAAAGCTTACAGTACTAACGCCAGCGGTTGCTCTTTACAAATATTGGAAGAATGACCGCATAGCTTTAAGTTAAACAGTTGCTAAATTCAGTAGCGTTAGGAACAGGTAGGTAGCCATCAGAGAAGGTCTGCAATTTCGTTGTGTGCTTCCAATAGTTGGATCCGGCGGTCACGGGGGTGGCAAATAACTGTAACCGCATTAGTTACGAGTTTACGACACCTAATGCCCGGACTGACCTCGACTCTCTACTGTAGACTTTCCATCTTACTTTTAACAGAAGCGTTTTATTGCACCAAAGATTAGTCACCTGTTGTACCGGGTGACCCAATAAGACTGTTCCTCGGCCATATCTCGGGAACCGTTCGTCGTATGACTTAGGTGTAAAAAAAATTACTGGGTAAATCGGTTATGAAGAATCGTTGGAAAATATTTTCAAGATCTAAAAATGACCACCAAAGGGCGTAACTGCCATCTTAAATTTTAAAATTGCATTTTCTTTCAATTTCGCATAATAAACTAAACAACCTTTTTTCACATTTTTAAGGAGAACCAGTTTATCCGTCATTTTCGTAAAAACAAGAACAAAGATGGCGTGGGGCGTTCAATTGTTTTTGCAATAGCCTGCTTTAACTTCTTAACCGTTTGACCGATTGTAACAAATTTGGTATCGTTGAAAAGAGTATTCCTTGGGCAACAAGAATCAAATACAGTTAATTTAGTTGAATTATTCTCCGCCAGGAGGCTAATTTTGACACTATGATTCAAAATCCTAAAAAAAATTAAAAAATCAAACCGAATGATACTTTTTCTGTATGAAAAAGTAGCCAAATAAAACCCAAAGAGGCCAGTGAAAACCGTTTTTCAAAATCTCGTTTCTAACCTCAAATATTGGGAAAATGAGATTAATTAATTAATTAATAAAAATGCTTAAATTGTATCTTATTTGACGTATTTCCGGTATTTGTCGATGGCGCAAAAGAAGGTTTGGAAAAGGACCCTACACTTTTGAGTAGGCCTTGGAAAATAAACAAATGAAACACGATGCATTATAAAATAATAACAGCCGTAATTTGTAAATTATTCTGCTATGTTTACATTCAGAAAGTTCAGTTTTTTGAATTTGGAGTCTTTTATAAAATGCCGATTTCTAACCAAAAGCTTTCGCGCTATCGACAAATACCGGAAATACGTAAAAAGTAAATGTAAGATACAAGCTAAGCAGTTTAATTAATTAATCAATTAATCTCATTTTCTCAATATTTGAGGTTAGGAACGAGATTTTTAAAAACGGTTTTCACTGGCCTCTTTGGATGTTATTTGGCTACTTTTTCACTAAAAAAAGGTCATATCATTCCATTTGATTTTATTGATTTGTTTAGGATTTCGGGTCATTGTAGCCCCCTGGCGGAGAAGGATTCAACTAAATTAACTATATTTTGGTTGATTCTCATTGCCCAAGGAATGCTCTTTTCAACCATACCAAATTTGTTAAAATCGGTCAAACGGTTAAGAAGTTAAAGCAGGTTATTGCAAAAACAATTGAACGCCCCACACCATCTTTGTTTTTGAGTTTTTGCTTTTAGGAAATTGATAGATAAACTGGTTCTCTTTAAAAATGTGAAAACATTTATTTAAGTTTATTATGCGAAATTTAAAGAAAACGCAATTTTAAAATTTAAGATTGCAGTTACGCCCTCTGTTGGTCGTTTTTAGAACTTGCAAGTTGTTTTCCAGCGATTCTTCATGACCGATTTACCCAATAATTTTTTTTATCCCTAAGTCATATGACGAACGGTTCTCGAGATATCGCCGCGGAACAGTCTTATTGGGTCACCCGGTATACAGATACCTTGTTTTGCTACCTGTTTGTGCCCCAACCAGTTCTTTGTTTTATAACTTGCTTTTAACCTGTTTTTTTGTATCATGTTTTGTGTAGGTAGGTTTTAAGGTACGATTTATATTTACCATGCTTTATTATTTGACAACAGTTTTACTATTGCTCATTCTAGATTGTTGACTATTAAAATAACCACAGACAACATATACTATGTCTGTGAAATAACTGATCAAAATGCAAAATACGAATTATACATTACGCCATTATATTGGTTTTTTTGTGTTCCTTTCCTACGACACTAGCGTTGTTTTGAATTTTTTGTGGTTGCACAGTTTTTTTTAAATTGTGTCATGCAAGATATAATTATTTGGCAGAATTTCTTAAATTTTTTGGTTGTCAATCGTGGGCGAGAGGTCCTTAAATACGGTCCTGACTTTAAATATGTTGGAGAACTTAACGGCGTGATTGCCTACGGTTACAGGACAAACTTTGTTTCTTTTGCATAGCCGTCGTTACCTGATGGGTTGTTGATTGCTGCGTCATGTGAATTTTGTAAAATAAACGGAAAATCAACTTCACGTTGAGTTGATTTATAACCGGGGATGAATCTAATTGAATGTGTGGAAATAGTTGATTGGTGGAAGAGATTTATTTGCGTCAAGGGATGGGTATCAATTAAAAAAAAATAAAGTCGTGGGAAAAGTTGGTAACCGGAGAGAATTCTTGTTGAGCCGTGAGTGCAGTTGGGTCAACCCCCTGTAAATGTCCGTGTTTTATTTTGTGAATTCGCGCTTAGAAATGAACATTATGTCTTTATATATAGATGTGACACCCTAATAATTGAGAGAGTGCATTGCCTTCGGAGAAATTTTGTGCTTAGTAATACTATGGTAGCGAAGTTAAGTACGTATAAAATAAATGCGAAAAGTTTTAAACACGCGAAATAAATCTTGTGACCCTATATAATAACTCGAGAAGAATTATCATGTCGTAATTCTTCGCGCATCTAAAGTGGTCTATAGTGTGCAAATGATATTTTGCATACGACATCTACATTTTGCCGTCGGTTTACCTAATTTTGAATGACCATAATTTGAACTGCCAATCAATGGTGTCACTCATTATACGAGACCTAGGAATTTGTATCGACTTTCGTTTTTATAAGTTAGGATCAATCAGTACTTCGGAGATTAGGGGAGCAAGGAATATAATCAAAGGTGTCATTCATTATACGAGACCTAGGAATTTGTATCGACTTTCGTTTTTATAAGTTGGGATCAATCAGTATTTCGGAGATTGCGGGAGCAAGAAATATCGCCATTATTTTTGTGTAGAAAAACAGTAGAAAACCGTTTACTTTAAGGGTGTTGCACATTTAAATAGTAAGAAAGAACTCTTAAAGATTCGGGTATTTTTTCTAACCAATTTTTAAAAAATTACTTTTCTCAAGATGCCATACCTGAAACAAGAAATTTATACAATTTAATTTCTTTTTGATTTTTTTAAAATCGGTATACAGTGTGTACCAGCTAAACCGCACCATAGCGAAACGGCAATGTATATTTTCGCGAAAGATCCACTTGGAATTAGCGTTCAACGTACGACTCCCATCTCTTTATAGCATCAGACAAGCGCAATAACGTACGTTGAACGCTAACTTCAAATACATACCAAAGGCTTCGTGGCTACTAGATAACGAGATTACGATCAACCTAACTTCGAATTGATTTTATGGAGGAAGTAGAAATTTTTTTGTAAACTGACTACTTAAAAGCAGGCCGAGATATTTGTATTTTTACGAAAAATTTTTATGTTTACTGTATACACTGTGTCCAAGATAAGGATGTCTATCATGGGGATCTCGGAAACCATAGAAGATACGAAGATGGTCAAATTACGGAAAAGATGCACAATTAAAGAGTTATTTTCATGCTTTAAATAAAACCAGAACATTCCGATTACTTCCGAAGATATGCCAGAACATAGAGTAAATATATATTATTTACTCTATGGTCAGACACACCAAAATTTGCTGATTTGGTTTTTATTTTTTTCTGATGTTGTTTGAACAGATACAAAAAAATCAAAAACACTTTATCATTGCCACTTTTGAACTCTACAAGTCACCGTCGAGATGTTTCAATACAACGTTTCATTTAAGAGAAATCATTATTTTCGTATATGGTCGGCCCGAGGCCCGTAAAAAAGTACATACATGCACTATTGACTTGCATTTTTCATTAGGTAGGTACACAAAAAAATAAAAGTTGGCCAGTAAAATTTGTCCCATATAGGTATTCTCGCACGATTCGAGCGTTGTGCGCGGGTGCACCATAATGTTGAAACCAACGCTGTCCAAAGTATGCCAGGAATAATCAATAACACTGGAAATGCAATAACAATTCCGAGTACTCTGGTAATCTGAGATCTGGGAATCCAGAAACTACGATGCAATTGCATTAAGGAGGGGGTAGTGCGAAGAGATATGGGTAACAGCACGTGTACATACAACGGCCTCAATAAATGAATCCAAATTCTACTTCTATTAAATCACATATTGCACCTGAATTACCTACACCCGATAGGTATATGGGGTATTATGTGTGTTAATTCCGGATTACATAAATAAAGATTCATTGCGCTGTTGCAATTAAACGGAACGTGCAGTTGATGTAAGAAACGTATTACATAATTTGAATAAAACATTTGATAAGATTAAACAAATATCTGCGAACATGAGTTGCTAAGACATTTTAAAGCATATTATTTTATTGCGCATTTTATAGGTAGATTGTAAGCAAAGAAGTCTGCGTTTTCAATTTACTTTCCACATGGAATTGCAGTTTGGTTAGTTAAAAAATGAATCTCGTTAATTAAGTGACTATATAACTTTGTTATCAATCAAGCAAATATAATTTGATTACTTCGCATAATGTTTTTCGTTGCGTTTCAAAAACAAGAAGATAAGTGTTGCAAAAAAATCTTACCCGAACTACAGAAGCTGAAACTTTTGAGAACATATAACCGGAAATCTCAGTAACTCCGACCAACGGGGCTTCGGCGATCTTCCGGATAGCGTCCCAATGATAGTACGAATTATTGATCCACTTTCTGAAATCTGCGCGTTGTACCTACTGAGCGCTTTATAACTATTTCTACTTTACCTTGTTATGTCTTGGTTGGGACCGGCAAAACTCGGACTAGGCCTGAAGAGACCGGCGGCGACGAAACTAGTCGTGTCCTGTTGAAATTTGTCGGCGATGACCGTTACTTTGGCGTTTCTGAATTGACTTTGCAGCTCTAGGGCCGTAGTTAGACCCACAACGCCTGCACCTACTACGGCTATGTTAATGTCAGCCATGATCGTTGGTTACTAAAGATTTTTGGTGTGCCAGTTACGGTCATTACTTTTAATTGATTAGATTAGCATTGGTTCAAAGTTTACTGCTTGCCCATCTTAATAGTAGGAGAATTTTTACAAAAGAGATGCCACATGCGCCAATATACTTTGACAAAAATAAACATCGCGCAGTAGTAGAACTGTAGATCTTTTTATAGAACTTCTGTATACCCATACCCAGTGTGGGCAAATATTATTCAGCAAATAACCACATATTATTGAATGGGATTCATACAAACCATTGTACCCATTTAAACAATGCTATAACCTTGACGTTTATCGTTAGTTAAAAATTGTGTAATTATGGGCAACAAACATTTTAAAACGGTTCTTTCTAATGATAGGTACTGCTTCCATGATATTTACACTGGTAGCACAGATTTAAAAGATCTGTGCTGGTAGGTACCTGCGTCTGGTATGTTTTACGCATTGATACAGGGTGGCTTCTTAATCGTGCACAGCATTATAAAGAATCATTTAAAGTTACAATGTCCGAACGTAGATTAAATGGAAAAAATGTTTCCGAATTGATACATGCTATTGTGTTGTTTGCGTCAATCACACATCGATGAAAAATAGGTACCAAAATAGGAGGTTTGAGGAGTAACACAAAGTTTTTTCATAGGTAAGGTATCATAAAATCGCTGTTTTCAACGATCCAGCATGTAGAGCAGAAGTGTTTGGTTGCGCTCATCCAAATTATGCTATACTGCTAGAAGAAATTAAGTGACCTATGCTGCTGATTATACAAACGTCAATGTGGTTGATAGCAGTATCGGTTTAATATACCTAAGATATTATACGTCTATTGCGTTACCATATTATAATATCCTATCTTATGTAAACAAGCGCGTAATTCCCGTATTACGAAATTATTGTTTAAAATGGTTTTTTTAACTCTTGATCATAAATGGTCCAGTGCCATGGACGACTTTAAATAGAAACTTGACTCAATCCGCAGGCGATCAGAATATGGTGAAGCCGATTGAAGACTTGATGAAAACTTTTGAGATCTTTTAAACGCAAGTAAAAAATCCGTCTATGAAGTTAATGGTAAATGAACTAAATTGTAAACAAATATAGCAAACGAGCTCCTGATGGGTATGGCTATACTATGCTATATGCTCATTTTTAATTTCATGCAATTCGGATCATAACATACAACTGAGTCTTTAACACGTACAATGATCCAAATAGACTCAAACCTTAAGGAACATTCGGATTTAAAAGAGTGTGGACGCAAATATCCAGGGTGATTCTCTTTCTTAATTCCACCCGATTCATAAACCCTATTATAAGATCGCAAAGAAACAAGTGAGTTATATGTGCGCGTGCAGTCTGTTATGTAACTTAAAAGTGTTATTTGCATGGTTAGTGAGCCGGATACTTTCTTTTTTCTTTAAGCCGAATAAATGCGGCTGTTTTGATTTGTTTGTAACCGATAGATTATGTGTAAAACGAACTCGTGGAATGGAGATAAGATACCTATACTTTATTTATTTACTAATTCTTATAAACATTTACGTAGTAGATATATTATATTCAGCAATATGAATATTTATTAAGAAACTGTCTTACTTATTTTTGTACAATTCTCTTTATAATTTTATCTAATGAACATTTGAGAAGTTTTGTTGACGCTTTCGAGCACGTTGTCAAGAGCAACCTTACTTATTAATTAACCCTTTAAAAACCTAGTACTTCGTGCTTAGAATTTCGTCAGAAAATCACAGGCTGTTTTGACAGTTGTAGAAAAAGATATTATTTGCATCGACTATGAATTATGATAAACAAATAGGTACAAATACTTACAAATATTTTAAAAAACGATATTTACAACAAGTTAAAAAGTAATCGTAAACGATTTACAAAAAGCGCATTTCTCATTTGTAAGATGCAACTTTTATTAAAATCATAAAAATCCGGCTACAAATATGAAAGATAGCGTTGCACATGGGCAATCCATTTTTGACGTGATAGGTAGGTACTTCAATTTCAGTTTATAAGAAAAATTTCACTTCAATGCTTTTCTAAATAAGAAAGTTAGAACTGCGCATGCGCAAACCTAAATATTGAAACTAATGTTATATTTTCCTTTGTTCCAAGCGCCTAAGTATCCAATTTCATTTAAATGCTTCAATAAATAAAAAAAAGTTGACACTGCATGCGCAAAACCAAATTTTGAAACTGGCGTTTAATTTTCCTTTATTCCAAGTGCCTATGTATCACATTTCATTTAAATGCTTCCATAAATAAAAAAGTCGGCACTGCGCATGCGCAAACCAAATTTTGAAACTGGCGTTAGATTCTCCTTTATTCCAAGTGCCTATGTATCACATTTCATTTAAATGCTTCCATAAATAAAAAAGTCGGCACTGCGCATGCGCAAAACCAAATTTTGAAATTGGCGTTAGATTTTCATTTACTCCAAGTGCCTATGTATCAAATTTCATTCAAATACATTTATAAATAAAAAAGTTTGCAATTCGGTTTATAAATGGTCGACATGCGAAAAGGGCACTGTGAATTTTGAATCGATTCGACTCAACTTTTGGCATTGCGTATTATATGGCTAAAGCTATGCCCATATTGTTTTCATGCAATTCAGTTAATAACTAACGGAGATGTAAAAGCGATCGGACATTTCTAAACAAAGTTATCGTTCACACGGACAGATAGAGGGACAGACAGACAAAGGAACAGACGGACAGACCAACAGACAGCAATACAAAATTATAAACGATCTCTAGGATCGTTAATAAACGGCAAAAGTGTAAAATTCTAGAACATGTAGGTAAAAAACGGTTTGTTGGTTTTTTTACAATAACTTTTTTAGAAATAAACGCAGAAAAAATTCCTTCCTTGGGGCAAGCCTCGACACCATAACGAACAAATAGCGAAAAAAAGTAGAACAATATTTCTTAAGATAAAGAACTAGTACCGTCTCATAAAACGAGCGGACGGACGGACGGACAAAGTGGCCACAATAGCGCATTTTTTTTATTTTTGTGGAAAGGCGCTAAAAAGAAATCAAACAGCCAACTTAAAGATAGGCAACTCAAATTACACTTCAACTGCCCCTACTGCACATTAGCAATGCACATTAGGCCCCGTTAGGTTTCTGTGTTTTTGTTTCAGTTTTTGTTTGTTGAGTACCTAAGTCATTGTTTAAATAAGTATTTAAACAATGACTTAGGTACTCAACAAACAAAAACACAAACAAGTATTTAAACAATGCCTAAGTATAGTGGATGTAGGTAGGTATATTAAAACGAATTGTCAATTTGTTTTCCTTGAAAACGAAGCCAAGTGTTGAGTTTTAATCTAAAAATTGTGAAATCAATTATCTATTATGGATTTCATTTCTGCAAAAAGATTAGATAGAACTTCTCGGTAGTAATTACATTAGATATTACAGAACAATAGTGTCAAAGCGATAATCGTTAATCGGGGATGCCCCTTTGATTGTTTAATGTTTGAACAAGGAAAACCGTTCATTAAATAAATTTGAAATGAAATTTTTCAGTAGATATATGCATACTATCATTGTGCGAATGCCGAAAATTGATGAAACAGGCCAAGCTAACGTTAGAAAAGTTAAATTTAAACAACTTAAAAAGTCTACGCACGTGTGCGGACGCCGATAGCGTATTTTTCATGTTGCCCCTGCCTATTGGGGTAGCGCGATTTGCTGCGCTGCCAACGAAATTGCCCAAAAATTCAAAGTATATTAAGGTCAGCAGGTGCACTTTATCGGCTGCGCTCTCGGTTTGCAATATTATCCGAAATCGGTTAAGCAGACTAAGACGAAAAGGAGGAGGAGGAAGAAGAGAATGAAGAAGAAGAGGGGGAAGATGTGCTATGTTTAACCATTGACATATAGAATGCGTGTGCCAATTCTACGCGCGGATCTACTGAGCGTGAGAGAGAAACTGAGGCAAGTGTCTGTATCGCGCTGCTGTTGGTCGCATACAATCGACATTGCTGTGGTAGTCAGAGTTGGACTGGGTCACTGGGTCAACTGGGTCACCTGGGTCACTAAATTAAACTGGGTCACTGGGTCTCTGGGTCACGTCATACTATTTTCAGTTAGACCCAGTGACCCAGTTTGACCCAGTGACCCAGTTTGATCCAGTGACCCAGTTTGACCCAGTGACCCAGTTTGACCCAGTGACCCAGTTTGACCCAGCGACCCAATTTCACCTGGGGACCCAATTCGACCCAGTAACCTAGTTTGATCGAATAACGCAGTTAAGTCAGTGCCCTCGGTTCAAGTGTACAGATTATGACATAAATGAGATGCTGGTTTGTTGAAAATAATACTCCATTGCTTGACAACTGCCATTTCTGTGATGTTTGCTTTAATACTGCCGTAAAAAACTTTCCATGTCCCGAATTGTATTAGAATAATGTTATTTCTAAACAGTTCCCTCCTTCATTTCTTTGTTTCAGGGCTTACCAGTTTGCTTACAGGTGTTCATTCACATTTAATTTTCTTCTACTAGTTAGCTTAATCCAAATGAATCTTTTCTCTAAATACTTTCATTGACTACTTGACTACAAACTATAAACAAATGCATTTGATTTTTTTAGGTATTAGTTCTCTTGAATGAAATTGGGCTACGTGCTTGTTGGCGAATATTATTGAGGAAGTTTTTTTTTTAATTAAAAGTTACTTGAAATTGTTTTGGATGATACCTAACAAGAATTTAATTACTGGGTCACCGGGTCAAGATGGGTCACTAAGTAAAGCTGGGTCAAGATGGGTCACTGGGTCAAGCTGGGTCACCGAGTCAAGCTGGGTCACCGGGTCAAACTGGGTCACTGGGTCAAACTGGGTCACCGGGTCACGCTGGGTCAACTGGGTCACCGGGTCACTGGGTCACCGGGTCACTGGGTCAGTAAACTGACTGGGTCACCGGGTCACTGGGTCACTCTATGCTTGACCCAGTCCAACTCTGGTGGTAGTGCGA